TGCGTCCATAATAGATTTAATTGCACCTCATCTTGCTATTATTTTTAATACTTGTATTGATTCTGGTGTGTTTCCTGATTTAATGAAGTATAGTAAAGTAATACCTTTATTTAAATCTGGTAGTACATTGGACCCCGCTAATTATAGACCTATTTCTGTACTACCAACTCTCAGTAAAGTTTTTGAAAAATTAATTTTGGATCAATTGTTAATTTTTTTTATTAAAACCAATTGTTATTACCCATGCACTAAATTACTTCAAAAAAACTAATTTGGTTTTACAAGGGGTCGCTCGACGTCTGACGCCGGTGTTGAGCTTATGAAATATATTTTTAATGCCTGGGAGTTTTCACAAGATGCCTGAAGATGATATTTACTGTCAAAGCTGAAAACCGAGTGTTGCAGCATCGTTTCCGGGACACCTGAGATTTTGAATGAAATTAAGAGGTTCTATGGGCAGCTGTACACGTCTTCGTTGGAGCTACACGCAAGTGTGAGTAACGATCCAAGAGCGAGTCTTATCCGACACTATTCCGAAGATATCCCAGACGTCAGTCTGAGCGAGATTAGAATGGCTCTCCAGCACCTTAAAAACGGCAAGTCCCCGGGCGAGGATGGAATTACAGCGGAGCTTTTGAAATCTGGTGGAAAACCGGTACTTGAAGTCCTTCAGAAGCTCTTTAATTCCGTCCTCCATGGTGGCACTACTCCGGAGGCGTGGAGCAGAAGTGCGGTGGTGTTGTTCTTCAAGAAAGGTGACAACGATCTCTTGAAGAACTACAGACCGATTTCCCTTCTGAGCCGCGTCTACGTGCTGTTTTCGAGAGTCATTAAGAATCGTCTCGCACGCAGACTTGACGACTTCCAGCCTCCCGAAAGAGCCGGTTTTCGAAAAAGCTTTAGTACCATAGACTACATGCATACCCTGTGGCAGATTGTACAGAAGACAGAGGAGTATAATCTGCCACTTTGCCTTGCGTATGTGGACTACGAGAAAGCCTTTGATTCCGTCGAAATTTGGGCGGTGTTGCAGTCCCTTCAGCGGTGCCAAGTTGACTGTCGGTATATCGAAGTCCTGAAGTGTTTGTACAGTAGAGCTACGATGGCTATCCGAGTACAGAATCAAAGTACGAAAACTATCCAACTGCAGAGAGGTGTAAGACAGGGTGACGTTATTCCCCGAAACTCTTCACCGCTGCATTGGAAGACGTTTTCAAGCTACTGGACTGGAAAGGATGCGGTATTAGCATCAATATAATACATCACTCAACTTTGATTTGCCGACGATATAGTCCTTATGGCAGAATCGCTCGAGGACCTAAGCACTATGCTCAATGACCTAATAGTGTCTCCCAACGGATAGGTCTTAAGATGAACATGGACAAAACAAAAGTCATGTTTAACGTCCATGTCACACCTATGCCGGTAGTTGTTGGGAGCACTAAGTTTAGTTAGTTTATGATATTTGAAGTACCCATACTTCAAATATCATAAACTCAAATTATCGGTATGGTTTCTGTCTTTTTGTAATTTTTCTTCTTATTTGTGTTACTTTTGCTAAAATTGTTACATCATATAATAGTATAGACCACAAACATTATTTTCCAAGTCAATATTTTTGACACAAACTCGGGTTGGGTCCTTTTTGCATAACCACGTCCAATTTTATAAATTTATTTTATATATTTATATTTTAACTAAACTTAAGATCATAGTATAAATTATTTTAGTGTTCACCGCGACTCCATAACTTTTGTAGCTAAATTCGAAGAAGCAAACTGAAACGAAACAAAACGACGTAGCTTGCAAGGCAATAACGGGGAAAAGTGCATTAATTTGTTATTACTTAAGGTTGATTTCACACTAAATGTTATTTAACCTATGTCTTTTCATGTCCAAATGACAGGGGTAATGCATTGAATTATTCTTTTTTTGTAACTACTGATCGTAAGATTTGTGACTTTATTACTAGATGCCATGGTTGTAATTGGGTTGAACATAAAACTGTTTTAATTATTGGTCCCAGTTCTTTAGTAAAGAAATGTAGCTGTATAAGTATATATTCACGCGGACATCATTTAGCTATGATTTTTTACGTGACTCGTTATCTAGTTGGTATTGTTGATCGAAGCTCTCGCCTGCCTAACATTTATGAATGACATTTATTCTAATCTTAATAAAAATATTTTTAAATGAAATGTTATATTAATAAGTTTTGTTAAACATACCTTTAGTATGTTTTTTATATTATAAAACTAGCTGTTCCCCGCGACTTCGCTCGCGTGTTAGGGTTTATATATTTTGCGCGGAACCCTAATTATTTTTATAAAATAAAAGTAGCCTAAGTTACTCCTTATGAAATTAGCTCGGTCCAGCTATTTCGGAGATTATCAGGAACAAACAGACAGACAAACAGACAGACAGACAAAAATTTTAAAAATTGTATACTAGTTATAAGTACCGTATTTCCCTTCATATCAAATAGATCTTCAATGACATTGCATTGTAATGGGAATGTCGTCTCCCTTGTTTGCTAGTGCAATAAGTGATGGAATTATTGCGTTAGTAATTTCAACGTTAACGACGAACTTAAAAGTCAACTTCTAAATATAAGTTGACTTTTAAGTTCGTCTAAAGAAAGCGATTTTTGTGTGACAGATTCAATGGACTGAGTTTTATTTACAGGCTTCAGTACAAGAGCAGCAGGGCGACTCTGATCAACATTAGTTTTATTTACAAGAGCTGGAAAATCATTATTATCATTATTATCATTATTAATAATCAATATTTTTGTCTTTTGTATGGGCAAACAGTGCTTGCAAGTAATTTTAGACTTCTTTTCTTGACTTTTATAATTTTAATTTGACATAAATTAAACATTGCCAAATGTGATCCACTGCAATTCACGCAACTGAGTTCATTGGGTTTGTCACAAATTTTATAAGGGTGGTCTCCAGAACAGAGATTGTCGTGCTATTTGCCAACGACAGAGGAAGATTGGAAAACATGTCATAAACCATACTGCACAATGTCAGGTAAAGTCAGCACATTGTCAGGTAAAGTCATTACTTTACCTGACAATGTGCAGTATGATAGTTTGTAGTTGCACCCTTTCCTGGCCAAATTTCTTCAGAAACCTGAGCACAGCAATTATCTCTTATATTGATGAAAGTTTATAATATAATTCTTTATTTGCTAAATTCATCTTTCTTATTATATATGTCTCATATGTTATAAAAATGCGTGTATTGAAACATATAATTTCAACCGATTTCAAAAATCGTCATCATCTCAATTCATCGCAATCTTTTTTATTATGTATCATCATTATTATCATCATTACAGCCCTTCACAAGTCCACTGCTGAACATAGGCCTCCCTCAAGGAATGCCGCAAAGCACGGTCCTGAGCCACCTGCATCCATCGACTTCCTGCATGTCTCACCAGGTCGTCACTCCATCTAGTGAGGGGTCGCCCTACACTTCGCCTACCGGTACGAGGCTGCCACTCGAGAACCTTTCTTCCCCATCGGTTGTCGGTTCTTCGAACTATATGGCGGCCCACTGCCACTTCAGCTTACTAATCCGTTGGGTTACTCTGGTTCTACTGCGGATATCCTCATTTCTAAGTTTATCATCCAGAGACACCCCGAGCATAGCCCTCTCCATAGCTCGCTGAACGACCATGAGCTTCCTCATACGGCCAGCAGTGAAGGACCACGTCTCAGATCCGTAAGTCATCACTGGCAACACGCACTGGTTGTACAATTTCGTTTTCAGGTTTTGAGGAATGTCTAACGAGAAGATGTGTCGTAGTTTCCCGAACGCTGCCAAGCCGAGTTGAATCCGTCGATTGACCTCTCGGTTGAAGTTGGACTTACCTAGTCGGACTAGTTGTCCCAGGTAAACATACTCGTCAAAAACTTCAAGCTTAGTGCTTCCAATAACTACCGGCATAGGTGTGACATGGACGTTATACGTGATCTTTGTTTCTCATGTTGTCCATGTTCATCTTAAGACCTATCCGTTGGGAGGCACTATTCAGGACATTGAGCATAGTTCTTAAGTCCACCAGCGAGTCTGTCATAAGGGCTATATCGTCGGCAAATCGAAGATGAGTGATGTACTCGCCGTTGATGTTAATACCGTATCCTTTCCAGTCCAGAAGCTTGAAAACAGCGGTGAAGAGTTTCGGGGATATAACGTCACCCTGTCTTACACCTCTCTGCAATTGGATAGGTTTCGAACTCTGGTTCTGTACTCGGATAGCCATCGTAGCCCTACTGTACAAGCACTTCAGCGCTTCGATATACCGACAGTCAACTTGGCACCGCTGAAGGGACTGCAGCACCGCCCAAATTTCGACGGAATCAAAGGCTTTCTCATAGTCCACATACGTCAGACATAGTGGCAAATTGTACTCCTCGGACTTATGTACAATTTGCCGAAGGGTATGTATGTGGTCTATGGTGCTAAAGCCCTTTCGGAAACCGGCTTGTTCGGGAGGCTGGAAGTCGTCAAGTCTGCGCGCGAGACGATTCGTAATGACTCTCGAAAACAGCACGTAGACGCGGCTCAGAAGGGAAACCAGTCTGTAGTTCTTTAAGAGAGCGTTGTCGCCTTTATTGAAGAACAAGACCTTCTGGTACTATTCTTCAGGCACTTCTTTTCCACGCCTCCGGTGTACTGCCACCTTGGAGGACGGAATTAAAGAGCTTCTGAAGGACTTTAAGTGCCGGTTTTCCACCCGCTTTCAAAAGCTACGCTGTAGTTCCATCTTCGCCTGGGGCCTTGCCGTTTTTAAAGTGCTGAAGAGCCATTCTAATCACGCTCAGACAAGCTATTTTTTGAGTTATTATGTGTGCTATATACATACATATATAGTACCCATAATAACTCAAAATTACAAACTATGTCATGTCTTATGCTAAACACAAAACTAAGGCCGTGTCGTTCGTTTTAAGCCGTGTCGGTACTAAAATAATCATTTTAAAGAGTTACTCACCGTCTTTGACAATCGGGAACCATCATCAGCGACTCTTGCAAAACTTCCTCCTGTTTTCTAGTTTCATGCTCTTCTCGATTTTCGTCTTTATATTTTTGTACCTTAAGCCTTTGCTCTTCAGCTTCTTTCCCGTAAACAAGTGTTTCTTTGGCTATACGCTTTACAGCGCCAGTTTTAATTTTAATTTGCCGAATTCTTGGATCTTCCATTATTGAAATCACAGAAGAATGTTAACTGTTCCTGTATAGGACAATTACTATACTCTTTGGTTAACTGTTTGGAATTAGAATTCGACCATAGATAAATATATATGTACCCAGCTAACTTCGACTTACTCGACTACGACTACGACCATAGATAAATATATATGTAGCAAGACTACGACTAGCACTATTTTTTTATAACTGGTTTACGGTTCTGGGTTCTAGCCTTTCTGAGCTTGAATTACAATGTATAATTATTATCCTTCATAGTACACTGTTTCAGAATATGTTGATGCGTCACATTGTGCAGCCCTTGGGAGATTTTAACGGCAAATTGAGCCAGTAGACAATTGACAGTTTGTCAAGGCGCCTAAGCAGACCTTATCTTGAGAAACACATCACCATCAGAGCACATGTTTCACGATTTCCGCTAATAGTTCACATGCACAGACACTTAATACATAGAATCGCACCATCTTTACATATTAAAATCTACTTCAAACCATTATTTAAACAATAATACAGGAGCAGCAAGTCGCCGCCGGTTAAGTTCCCGCCAAAACTCCGACTAGCACTATGCATTTTATGTGTCCCATCCTTATCAAGGGAAGTGCTAACCGTCTCTCCTTTCTGTGAACTGGAACGACTAGCACTAATCTAGTTTGTAGCACAGAGAACCTGTGATATGTTGTAGCTTCCTTCGTTTCTGTTTGCTTGTGCTCCCCTTTAGGGTTTATATATGCTCTGTGGTTTGTGCTCGCTATAATAATAATATAACTTTATTTCAGACATAATTATGTCTGAAATAAAGTTATGTGATGGCGACGACAAGCTTGTGATCTTGCTGCGCCTGTAAGCACTCTAAAAGTAAATGTTCTTAAAATTTTGCAAGAGATGCTTGCAACACATTCGGATATACACCTTGGTGTATATCCCAATATATTTAAAGTGGCAATGAGTCATTTACAAATTGCATAGCTGGGCTCGTTAATCCGTTAATCGTTAATTAACGAAGTTAACATTTCAACTAACGTATAAACTTTTAAGTTAACTTTAAAACATGTTAACGATCTCGTTAACTTCCGTTAAATTTCCAGAATTCCGTTAATCGTTAATCTTAATATTTACCTAGCACCACACCGCGCCATGCTGCCGCTGCCACTGTTAACTGACAAGTTATGACTACAGGTTATGGCACCTGTCACTAATGCCCTCGATCGTATTCAAGAAGCTCAAGCATATCTCGGGGTATTGCTACCGACAATTGCAGCAACTGACTTTAAATTAAAAAATATAAAGTCTAAGGGCCTACTAAATTGCACAGCTTTAGCCAATGTCTTATTAAATGGTATAGAGAAAAGGTTTGAACCACTGCTGGACAAGGAACAGTACTAATTTGTCGCAGCTTTTCACCTGAAGTTCTGGTTGATATTGCTGGAAACGTATGGCAAGTGGATACAGTCAAATAATGCATGGGAAAAAAAGTAGAAGAGACGTTACGACAAGAAGTTTCCGAAAGCTCGAAGGGCAGATATAGTTTAAGTGACGGAAGCAGCAACGCGAATAACAATGACGATGATGAGAAAAGAAGACTTTTTTAATTCTGTCATTCAGACTCGTTCAATGATGCGGCATTAATCGGAAAACAGATAAATCAGTTGAAAAAGCGCTGCCGTTGAATGTCTTTTTCCCATGGGCAAAGATATTTTAACGTTAAAGTGAGCCTCGCTTTCCGACGAGAACTTCAACATTTTATACGTGGTAGAGTCATGCTGCACCTATATTACTAGTATAGTTGGAGCACGAATGGGTCGGCTCGACCGGGAAAGGATCACGCTTTCACAAAATACCAGCTTAAAGTAACAGCTTAACGCTGCTGTTTCGTATGGTGAGTGTGGAGAACCGGAGATCCCTTTTATTGGAAACGAGGCATTCTATTTTAGTCCTCACAGGGGACAACGTACCTGAATTATGATTCATAGTCGAGGATAGATGTAGATGTATGTGGGCCACAGCAAGCACTTACTAACAGCTAGACAGTGTGCTCATTTGTTACCCGTATCCTGTAAAAAAAAAACCATATTAATGTCCATGAAGGGCAATATCCGCATTATGCCAGATGTGAAATTACTCACTTCAATTATACACGCTTTTTTTGTTTCTAATCTGTTAACTTCCAGAACCCAAACAAACAGTTTTTATAAGTAGATCATTTAATTAGCGCAATGATATAAAAAATGCATTTTTAATCACGTGTTAACGGATTAACGATTAACGTTAACTAGCGTTAAATCGTCCGAAATATAATGCTTTAACATTTAACGAAGTTAACTTTTTTAATAACGGATTAGTGAATAACGAAGTTAATTATATGTTTAACGATGCGCAGCTATGACAAATTGTGGCCACGAGCGTGCTTTCTAAACGCTTTTTTTTCAATGGCCGAGGCCACAATAACTCAAGGCTGAAACCGGCTACATGGAAGTAAACTATCAAACATATTGGTTTTAAGTTCGACAGCGAGTACAAAATACGGGGCTTAAAGATTTTTAATAAGTATATGACAAAACAATAACAAAACGTATTTTGTTGTTATATACAACGTTGCGCTACAATGGTGACTTTAATTTAACACACATATACGTTTTCACATTTTCGTTACATGAAGAAATTATATTTCCATTAAACCACAGATTACCTCCTCCTCCTAATTAGGAGGTAATCTATGCATTAAACGTTATTATTTACGGATTTATTTAAAATTTTAGAAAATAGCATCTTTTTTTTTTTTATAGGAGGGGGCAAACGAGCATGCGGCTCACCTGATGGTAAGTGACTACCGCCGCCCATGAACAACCGCAACACCAGGGGAATTGCAGATGCGTTGCCGGCCTTTTAAAAAGGAGTAGGCTCTTTTCTTGAAGGTCCCCAAGTCGTATCGGTCCGGAAAAATCGCTGGTGGTAAACTATTCCACAAAGAAGTTGTGCGAGGAAGAAAACATTTTCTAAATCGCACAGTGGTGGACCGCCAATCATCCAGATGGTGTGGATGGTATCGGGAGTTCTGCCGCGATGTGCGTTCGTGAAATTTGGCGGCTGGGATTAATCCGAACAATTCCTCAGAGCACTCCCCATGGTAAATGCGAAAGAAAATGCTAAGAGATGCAACATCTCTTCGCAGTGCCAATGAGTCGAGCCGATCGGAAAGGATTCGGTCGTCGACGATTCGAGCCGCTCTGCGCTGGATGCGGTCAAGTGGAAGAAGCTGGCACTGGGGAGCCCCAGCCCAGAGATGGGAACAGTATTCCATGTGAGGCCGAACCTGCGCCTTGTAAAGTTGCAGGCGTTGCGTTGGCATGAAATACTGTCCCGCTCTGCTGAGCACACCAAGCTTTTTAGAGGCCAATTAAATCTTAGAGCAACCTGTACTTAGACAACTGTCGCGCTGCGGTTTTTGCCGTGGTCACGATCATAAAATCGCATCATTGAAATTAAAATGAATAAGCAATACTATTGAAGGAAAGAGACATCCCTTTGTCGGCGAGGGGGTGGCGCAGGCGACGCACGCCCTCCCGCCCCTCTGCACTGAAATCGAATTATTTTTTTGCTTTTCTTTTCTAGTGCTAGCCCACCCTGTGTCCTCGACACACTTCTTCACAATAGTGTGCATAATTACGTCGAGTAATATTTTTATGACCGTTACAAAAAAGCGCTTACCTATTGTTTTATTTATTAATTTTTGTGTAATGAGGATAGTAATTCTGCGACAAAGACGCTTTGTTTTGTTTTCTCATCTAGTAGGTACTTCTCTTGGGATACGGAAGCTTTTATTTGTGTTATCAGTGCTTGTGTAAACTTGTAATTGTGATGGCAAGTACACACCCGAACTACACAGCAGCTGAATATGCGGACATGATCCTAATTTACGGAGAATGTCGTTAAAATGCCGTCCTTCCGATAAGGACATATCGCGAGAGATATGGCGATTCAAGACAATGACCGACTAATCCTCGCACCATTGTGGGAGCTCTTCAGCGCAACCGCGAAAACCGGCCAGTGGATCCTAGGTCGCTATGATAGACCGCCTATACGACAAAACCAAGTCCAGTTAACTGAAAATGTGATACAATTTTTCGAAGACTAACCCAAAACTAGCCTCCGCCAGAGCGCTAGGCAATTTCAAGTCCATCACAGAAACGTCCATAGGATATTAAAGCGCGAAAAGTGGCACCCATTCAAGTTTAGAAAAGTACATAGGTACTATGTTATAGCGTGATAAATTAATAAGAGGACAGTGACTTTCTTTCCCAGATTTGTTGGACTGAAGAGAGCACGTTCACCAGAAACGGCATGTGGAACCAGTACAATCTGCACCATTGAGTACCTAAAAACCAAAACCCGTGCGTTTGGCGGGAGCCCATCAGTAATAAATTTTTCCAAGGGTGATCCCAATTTTGGTTACTATTTTATTATTCAGTTTGCTTGAAACATTTTTTTTTTCAATTTACGAGTTATTTTAACCTATCGAAATTAATATGATTAATGGGCACTAGCCCTACCCATGTGTTAAATTAAAGTCACCATTGTAGCGACCACGTTGTATATTTATGTTTCACAAATGAGAAATTACATAATTGATGAATGTTTGATATAGCTAAAAGGAAGTTTTAGATTTATATAAGTCTTAAAAAAATAAGAATAAATACCGATAAAATATCAATATATCGATATTTAGATATATCGATATTAACTTACAGCGATAAATATCCTATATAATTTAATATAAAATTTCTTATCGATATTTAATATCGATTTCTATATATCGATATTTAATATCGATATGTTGAAACATTGATACATTATCATGAAAATATCGATATACTATATATGTCGTTGATATTTTTAACAGCAATACATCGATATTATATATGTATTTTAGAGCATCGAATTCATATCAATTTTGATATTTTTGATAATGTTGTATTCATCGACAAAACATTAAGCAA